TACTCTATGTACTAGATTCCTGGTTTTTTGCTCTGTCAGAACAGACAAAAGTCACGTGAGACAGAAATGGCGTGCAATGCAACATAAATGTAAATACCGTCATAAATCACATTATGCATCCCTGTACGAACACTACCAATTCCGGCAGAAACTGTACACATACACAAACATTGAGTGACCACACGTTCTGAACACACTTCCAAATCGAAGTAAGTACTTCAGTGAATCGCGAGACGGACACTGATAATCCCGTCAACGTTTTATGCATTTAAGTTCGATGTCGATATTAATTGTGAAATGCACAAAAAATAATTTTATAATGCAAATAAAGTGTTAATTATAAAAGCGCGAAGAAATAAAATAAGAAAAACACAAATACAAATATGGTGTCACTTTTCAAAACAACATGGTCGTAAAGTGTCTCACTGTACAAACACTGCTATTCCTCTCATAAACCTTGCAGCGTGTCACTGTACGAACACTGATATTTCTCTCATAAACCATACAGCGTGTCACTGTACGAACACTGATATTTTTCTCATAAACCATGCAGTGTGTCACTGTACGAACACTGATATTTTTCTCATAAACCATGCAGCGTGTCACTGTACGAACACTGCTATTTCTCTCATAAACCATGCAGTATGTCACTGTACGAACACTGCTATTTCTTTCATAAACCATGCAGTGTGTCACTGTACGAACACTGATATTTCTCACATAAACCATGCAGTATGTCACTGTACGAACACAGCTATTTCTTTCATAAACCATGCAGTGTGTCACTGTACGAACACTGATATTTCTCTCATAAACCATGCAGTGTGTCACTGTACGAACACTGATATTTCTCTCATAAACCATGCAGTGTGTCACTGTACGAACACTGATATTTCTATCATAAACCATGCAGCGTGTCACTGTACGAACACTGATATTTCTCTCATAAACCATGCAGTGTGTCACTGTACGAACACTGATATTTCTCTCATAAACCATGCAGTGTGTCACTGTACGAACACTGATATTTCTCTCATAAACCATGCAGTGTGTCACTGTACGAACACTGATATTTCTCTCATAAACCATGCAGCGTGTCACTGTACGAACACTGATATTTCTCTCATAAACCATACAGTGTGTCACTGTACGAACACTGCTATTCTTCTCATAAACCATGCAGCGTGTCACTGTACGAACACTGATAATCCTCTCATAAACGATGCAGCGTGTCACTGTACGAACACGGATATTTCTCTCATAAACCATGCAGCGTGTCACTGTACGAACAGTGATATTTCTCTCATAAACCATGCAACG